GATTAGGAGCTCACACGGCAGTGAGTGTCAGGAGAAGGATGAGGACTAGTCCCGAGGAACTCCAAGATTTAGAGGCTGGCAGGAGGAGGCAGAGCCAGTGGAAAAAACGTGAAAGGAGCAAATGGCTGGCCACCAAGGTAGGAAGAAAAGGAAAAGCGTGATGTCGCAGAGGCCCAGAGAGAGGGGGTGTCAAAAAAGAGGGCACCACCACCATGTCACAATGCCTCCAGGCGGCAAGCAAAATGASGACTGAGGATTTCCTCTGCATTCAGCAAGACTGAGAAGCAACTGGTGACTTCATCACTGAAGTTACCGCGGAGCCCTTGGAAGAAAGCTTGATGAGAGGGAATTCAAGAGGGGACGGGGTGAGGGCGGGAAGACAGGATATCAGCGAAACTTTTGTGGAATTTTGCTATCAAGGGAGTGGAGAGATGGGTTGGTGGCTGGAGAGGGTCGGGGACAAGGAAATGTTCTTACCAGATGCCAGATGTCATGACTTGTGCGTCTCCCGATGGAAATGCACCAACGGGAGACCAAATTGATGAAGCTGGGGCGGGGTTGCTGGCGGGAAGAGCAGGAGATGGAGAGGCGGCATCCCCCCCACCCCACCCCKCGGCCTGTGCAGGCGACAGAATCCAGGTTCCTCTCGGGGGATGGGCTGGCTGTGGAATAAAAGCTAAGAAAGAGGAGCTGATGATATAGCCCAGTTGGTAGAGTGCCTGTTTGGCATGCCCAAGGCTCTGGGTTCAATCCCCAGCACCACRAAAGAAAACGACTCTCCAGAGGTTCACGGTGGCTCCCCTGGGCTAAAGCCGAGGGCACCCCAGTTTCCTTGTAGTGGGAGGAAGGAAAGCTGAGTCTGGATAGAGATGATGTTAGCTGGGCGGATTCCGTGAAGGAAGATGGTTTATTTCTGCTCATTTTCTCAATGACGTGAGGTCATCAGCTGATGGTGAGGTGGGGTTTAGAGATCTAGAGGTTTGACCAAAGAATGGAATCTAGTATTTTCTAAATCACAACCATCTTAGTATAAATTACTACTCCAAGTCTACTGACCTCGGAAAGCAGGACCATTGGGGGTCCTTCCAATCATATCACGCATTGGTGACCTGCTCCATCCACGCTAGGGCTGGCTCTGTCCCTGAGTATTTCCATGTTTCCAAATCTAGATAGAGCAAGGCAAGGCGGAGGCAGGGGACTCAGGAGACCTGCCTGCAAGATGAATCACTCAGCTCTGCCAGGACCAGGCTTCAGGGGCCTCTGCTCAGCTTAGCTGCTTATACTACCGCAAGCCCCTCGCCACTGCAGCACACTCAACTGTTCCCTTTTGACACCTTCCAAAGGTCTCAGCAATCAAGGAGCATACAGTGGGAAGGGGACACAGGACAGCTGCTTCAGGAGTTTACCTGCAAGCAGGAATCCTGCAGGTGAGGACTGAGGAAAGCCCACACATCCTGTTCTATCTCTAAGAAAAACATCTGCAATAAATATTTTTTTTTTATCATTCGTTTTTCAGCTCAATGCCTACAGCAATTAAGAGACGGCAATACCATGGATGGACAGTTATTGCAAAGGTATTTTCCCCAGAAATTAAAAAATGTTGCTGAAACAATTCACAATAGCTAAATTGTGGAACCAACCTAGATGCCCTTCAGTGGATGAATGGATAGGGAAACTTTGGCACATACACACAATGGAACATTACTCAGCATTAGAAGAGAGTAAAACCATGGCATCTGCAGGTAAATGGATGGAGTTGGAGAATATAATGCTAAGTGAATCAAGCCAATCCCAAAAAAGCAAAGGCCAAATGTTTTCTTTGACATGAGGATGCTGACTCAGAATGGGAGGATAGGGCAAAGGGGAGGGAGGGGAAGGGAGGGGGCAAGGGGGTAGGAAAGGTGGTGGAATAAGATGGACATCATTCCCCTAAGTTCATGTATCAGACACGAATGGTGTGAAAATACTTTGTGTAYAATCAGTGTCTTGAAAAATTGTGCTCTATATGGGTAATATGAAATGATTGGCATTCTGCCATCATGTATAACAAATTAGAATAAATTTTAAAAATGAATAAATTTTTAAAAATTGTTGCTGAAAGGTCTAATAAAAATGATAGTGATCTTATTGAGTTCCCGTTTATTGTTTTTAAATTAAGGTATGTTTCCTTTGGTCAGGCACCCTTAAAATCCACATCCACATATCCTCCCCAGGTTTTCCCAGTATTCTCTAGAGAACTTAAAGTTCATCCTGACTACTCACTTGCTGATTGGCATTYGGAACATCACCCTGGGGCTCCTGGGGAGTTTCAATCCTTGTCATGGTAAAGCACAGGACACAGTGCAGGGGAGCAGAATTTAGCCTTCCTTAGGCAAAGGGGATCTTTTTAAAGGACTTGAAGAATTATTATATCTGCTTTACTGATGTATAAATAGAGGCACAGAAGGAAGAGTCATTTGCCAAAGGTCGCCTGGCTAGTAAGGGAAGAAGAGAGGTGGACACAGCAGGGCGATCGAGGTGGTACGACACTACAGCAGCAGTCAGTGGCTGCTGAAATCAGACAGCCCTGGGATGGGGGAAACAGGGGCTTCTGAAACCCCTGCAGCATACAGCTGGGTTTACCTGAAACTGCCAGATTTTCAGAAAGCAGGAGACTAGGAGGAAAGACAGACGATGGCTTTGGCTGCAGGGGACAGAATGCACCGACCAAGGGCTTTCCCCACGCTGCGGGTCAGAGGCAGAGGCAAGACCCCCAGCTCCCAGCATCCCSGGACCCGAACAAAGAATCTCATGGCCGGACATTTGGCTGCAAGAGTCTGCTCCTGTGATGGTGGTAGAAGAGCGACCCGGACAGCCCTCTGGCTGCCTGTCTCTGTTGGCCAAGGAGAAGAAATGCTAAAGGAACTCAGGAAATCCCAGGTTACAGGGAAAACCCTACCAGTGTGGGGCACAGTCCCAAGGGTCTCTTTCACTGAAACTTCCCGCAAATAGTTAGTTTGGGAAACACTCACTTCATTCACAGACGAGTCGTCAAAAAAGAACTGGCAYGAGGTCCAGAGAGAGCAAAAAACACAGCGAGGAAACAAGTGGGGAAGGGGATGACACAAACACCCACCAGAGAGAATTCATGATCAAACATTGTGCCATGATTCAAGAAACTAAGCCGAATTCTCTACTACAAGAGATTCAAAACAGCATTATTCCGAATCGCCAAAATGGAGACAATCAAATGTTCATTACTGATAAGTAGGTAAAATGAAATGTGTTATATCCATAAAACAGAATATTATTTGTCAATAAAAAAGAATGGTTTTGTTTTTGCACTGCTGGGGATACAACCCMGGGCTTGGAGCATACTAGGCAAGTGCCGCAYCACTGAGCTGCCTGGCCCAGGCCTCTCTCTTCTTGAAAAAAAAGATTAGATCATGAACGTGGGTCGAGACACCTCCAAAAAATATATAGTAAAAGGACTCAATGGGAACACTGACTCTGTTAACTGTAAGAAGAGACCCCCCCCCCCAAAAAAAAAAAGTGGTCATGATGTTGGGACGGAATTAAAGTGTTATGAACACTGCTACAAATCAGGAGGGGAAGAGGAGAAAATCATAAAAATATACCAGTTTCCTTGCTTTTCACAAATGATATTTGAACCTGTTAAATCAATAATGTAATAGTTGGTCTATACCCAAAAGACTTAAAACAGCATACTACAGTGACACAGCCACATCCATGTTTAAGGCAGCTCAACTCACAGTAGCCAAGCTATGAAAACAACCTAGGTGTCCTTCAATAGATAATAAAGAAAATGTGGTACTTGTATACAGTGGAATATTACTCAGCCATAAAGGAGAATGAAATTATAGCATTTGCCAATAAATGGATGGAACGGGAGAATATCATGCTAAGTGAAGTAAGCTAATCCGGAGAAACCAAAGGCAGAATGATCTCTCTGATGTGTGGATGCTAAYCCCAAACAAGGGAATTGAACTAGAAAAGGGAAAGGAAGGGAAGGAAGAGAAGGAGGGAATAGGAGAGAGTAGAATCAACTGGTCAGAATTTTCCTAGCCTTGTATTTGCATACATGRCCAGGCAAATCCACATGATGGGCAACCTCAAGAGTGGGATCCTAAATAGAGTAAGTATGCTCTATGTATCATTCTGCCAAAATGCCTTCTACAGTCAGGTACAACTAAGATAAAAATTAAAAACTTAATAATGTAATAGAAAATCAAGTGTACTAGGGACCAGCCCTGAGCCCAGCACAGAGCTGCTCCTTTAGGGTGGGAAAGACCCGGACAGAGCTGCCACCTACCTGGACACCCGGGAGTTCGCCTGCGGGCTGCGGGAACTTGATCCCATCAGGGGCGGAGGTGGTGTTGCTGGGGGAGTTATAGGTCCTTCCTTTATCCCCCCCCCCAACACACACACCAGGGGTTGAGCCCAGGGACACACTAGCAGTGAGCCCCATCCCCAGCCCTATTTATTTATTTATGGTACCAGGGATTGAACTCAGGGGCTCGAAACCACTGAGCCCCAGCCCCAGCCCTATTTTGTATTTTATTAGAGGCAGGGTCTCACCGAGTGGCTTAGTGCCTTGGTTTTTTGCTGAGGCTGGCTTTAAACTCTCGATCCTCCTGCCTCAGCCTCCACAGCCGTTGGGATTACAGGTGTGGGCCACCGTGCGCGCCCGGCCCTTTTTACTTTTTCATTTTGAGACAAGGTTTCGTTAAATTGCTGAGGCTGACCTCGAACCTGCGACTTCCGGAGGCGACCTCCTGCCCCGGCCTCCGCAGGCGCGGGGTCGCGGGCTGCGCCGCTCCCTGGGCGGGCGTTAGAGGCCGCCTCGAGCGCGCCTGCCTCGCGCACCCCAGCCACCGGCGGCGTGCGACCTCCTGGCACCGGACCAGGACACTGCCCAGGACCAGGCGGGCGCGCRTGGTGGGACCTGCGGCCGCTGGAGAGGGGCGGCGAGGCCCGGGGCGTCCCTAGTTTGCCTCTTCTCCCCCGAGGACTGCGGTCTATGGCTGCCACGTCCAACTACGCTGAACATTTCAGTCCAGAGAACTTAAAAAGATGGCCCCAGCCCGAGTCGGTGCCGCTCATGGAGGTGAGGCGCCCATCAACCGCCCGGGGTGGCGGGACACCTGGTCGGGCTGGGGGAGGCCGGCGGGGGAGGCCAGCTGGCCCCGCAGGGGCTCCGGGGCAGTTCCTCGCACCCAGGTCCGGTAAGGATTCCCTCGTGAGCAAAGCGTGGTCGTCTCCACCGCCCTCTGACTGGCCTCCTTGTAAGGAAAGTTCTGCCCATTTTCTTGCCCATTTCTTCAACAAACAAAAAAAGGTGGTTTAACAACCTGACCCGGCGCCGGGCGGTGCACACTCCGGTAATCCCAGAGATCTGGGAGGCCGAGGCAGGAGCGTCTAAAGGTCGAGGTCAGTTTTAGTATCATTTAGAGAGACCTTGTCTCAAAATACGAATCCAAAGGGCTGGGGATGTGGCTCCGGGTTGCGCCCTGGGCTCAGCCTGCCGCACAGCACAAGCGACAGTGTGTGTGACATCTGCTTCCTCCCCCTCTGGGGTGGCTGGGGGTGGGGTGGGGGTTCCCAAGACAGTTGTCGGATTTCTACTTCTCCAAATAGAACGATTGGTTCTAAATTTATAGTTTAGTGTCGGGGAAACGTGTTTGTTTTACATACGTTTTCAGTTTCCTTCTTAAAATAAGTCTGAGAAGGCTTCGAAGTGAGATTCTGTTTACACTATAAAGAGCGTGTTTTGGAGATTATCCAACTAGCTGTTCAAATACCATTTGAGATTTCACATGAAGATATGAAACTGGATAAAAATAAAGCTCTCCTTTCTGAGATGTCTTTATTTACAGATGGGGTATTTTGATTTGGGGTTTAGTTGACTTTGATGCAAAAGTGGGAGGAACAGAAAGAAGAACCAGAGATGGAATAACAACATTTTAAGAACCTGTATGATTTTTCACTAGAGAAAATTATTCCCGGTAACAGTGTATCTCTTCCAGATGCTGGTGTTTTTTTTTTTGTTTTGTTTTTGTTTTTACTGGAGATTGAACCAGGGGTGCTTAACTAATGAGCCACATCCCTAGTCCTTTTTAATTTTATTTTGACACAGGGTCTTGCTAAGTTGCTCAGGCCCTTGCAAAGTTGCTGAAGCTGGTTTTGAACTTGTGATCCTCCTGCCTCAGCCTCCCAAGTCGCTGGGATGAGAGGCGTGGACCACAGTGCCAGGCTCAGAGACTGGCTTTTTATTGCCCTTTCATTTTTCCTCCTTATCAATATAGGAATCAAAACTGCAGACCAGTTTATACTTATCCAAATGAAAAGGCCCTACAGTGAATATTAAAGGCATCAGCTTCACTCAAACTCATAATGGAAACAAAGTCCCTCGTGTGAGACAGGGTCTGTAAGAAGTCAGAAGCTGGGACAAGTAGCTTGGAGACTCTAGATGTTGCTCTCAACAGAACTTCCTGTGCTTTTGACCTATGAAGTGACCTTTCAGAAGACAGGAGACGTCAAGAGCCCTTTAAAACATACCTAATAAATGAGTGCCCCAGAAGAGGCTTCAATTTGTACAGGATCCCTTTAATTAGTAAGCTTATTGTTACTTAAAAAATGACTTAATGGTATGATGTCAAGGGTTTCTAAAAATATTTTCAGTTGTGGATGAACACAATGCCTTTATTTTATTTATTTTTTTAATGTGGTGACGAGGATGGAACCCAGTGCCTCACACACGCTGGGCAAGCGCTCTACCTCTGAGCCACAACCCCAGCCCTGATGTCAAGGATTTGTCTCAGAGTCATCTGGGTGGAGGGCGGAAAATGAGTAGGGATTTAGATGAAATGAAACTGACTGTGAGTTGATCATCGATGAACCTAGATGATGAGTTTTCACAATTTTCCTTAATTAAAAAGTCACACACTATGCTTTGAGGTGCAGCCATTAGATTTACCCTAAAGCTATGGGTAACCTACCCTGAGACTTGTCATTCTGCTTTGTTTCTTCAGGATTAACCTCCTCCTCTCCAATTCTGTAATTTTAGGTATTAGCTAGAGAAGACATTGATGAAGCTGTACATGCAATATTATTTAGAGAAAATTATGTTGTGAAGGTAAGAGCTGGCTACAGACTGTGTGTTCTAAGTGTGCTTGGGGGGAGCAAGAGGGATGCAGAGAGCATGACCGAGAGCTGGTGTCACCCTGTGTTAGTCGGGTTTCTTCACTGCAACGRATACCTGAGATAAACCACTTGAAAAGAAGAAAGGTTTATTCTGGCTCCCAGCTTCAGAGGTTTTAGTCTGTGGTCACTTGGCCCCATGGCTTTGGGCCTGTGGCAAGGCAGGACTTCATGGTGGGGAGTGCATGGTGAAGCAGAGTTGCCTACCTCACAGCAGCCAGAGGGCAAAAAGAGAGAGAGGAAGGGGCAGGGGTCTCAATCTACCCTCCAATGACCTACTTCCTCCAGTAAGGCCTCGCCTCCATCACTCCCAATAGTSCTGTCAGCTGGGACGTGCATTCAACTCTCTGGGAGGACTTACTGTCCAAACTGTAGCACCGCGTCAAAGAGACTCATTTTTCAGGGAGAATGAGGCTCTCTGATTCACTCCTTATACTGCAGGGACCTGAGGTTGTGCCACCTCCTTGCAGGATCACTAAGAGTCCTGAATCCTGTTTGAATGTGTCTGAGGGATTGTTCTAACTGCTCCCTTCTTTGTCCTGGGACTACATAGAAATTCTTTCCTCCTGAAACTTGCCTCCTTCTCCTGTATCTCCTAAAACCACCCAAACGAATTAGTATTCAAGAGTAACGATCCCTCATCACTATGGAATTAGTAAACTTAAGGGGGGGGTTGATCTTAGTGAGGGGGGTTGAAATTTGGGGTTCTAATAATACTTTGACATTTGTATTGTGGTTTGCAGTTTGAAGAAAATACACATATGTTCTCATTTGGGCATCAAAGGTGGTAGGTGGGAGTAGCCTGTTTATAGATTGGAATGAGGTGTCTAAACAAATTTGGTGTTCTTTTTTGCTCTCCCAATTTAGTCACAACCTTTTCTGATGATAAGGGCTGGACATGGACTAGGTAACTAGAAAATGTTTTGAAATCCTTAAAAAGAAGCAAAAAAAAAAAAATTGGTGAGTTAGAAACAGTTTAATCTGGTTAATGAGTGAAATGCAGGTCAGTATGAAGGCACAGCGTGCCTTAGGACTGTTCATGACTTCTTCCTGCTCCGGGCTCTCAGGATCTTGTGCTAGGACTTGTAGTGGAGAGCTCAGGAACAGAGACAAGTGTGTCTTCCCCTCAACCCATATGCAAATCCCCATAAATGGAAAATCTCTTAATAATTTGTTTTGTTTGTATTCAATAGAGATTGGATACATATTTTCAGCATCTGGATACTTTTAAGGAAAGAAGAAAAGAGATGTTACACAGAAAATGGATTATGAATGTGGCAGAGCCCATTCAACAGAGAATTGTGGAAAAAGTAACTTCAAATAGAGGAGCTGAAAAAACAAAGCGAGAGAACTTTGAATGTTTTTTAAAATCCACAGATAAAACGGTACTGAATTTTTTTTTAATAAATGTCAGTTTTTTCTATTTTTGTATCCATAATATTTCTTAATATTTTCCATTCATCTCATCCTACTCACATTTGCCTGATGGTGTTTATAGCTGCAGYGGGGAGGCGCTAGTGACTCTTCTCCTCCCTGTTCTTTGATCAGGAAGCAGTGGGTCCCCGGGGTCCCCTACCCAGCCTTCCCGTAGCTCTCATGAACCAGGACTGGGTCATGTGTCCACGCAGGGTCAGGAGAGAGCCTTTCTAATCCCTGTGGTCAGCCAGCCATTGATACGGGGCTAACAGTTCAGCTCTTCAGACTGGCTTTACAAAACAACATGCGTTTGGTTTCTTACTTTGAAGATGTTTTTTTCTTTTAACTTTTGAGGTCAGAAGTCTCCTTAGGAATTTAGGCCCACCTATTTGCAGTACCAAATTTGTCTACAGTATTTTCACTCTGTTTTTTTTTGGGGGGGGGGGTGAATACCAGGCATTGAACTGAGGGGCACGCGACCAGCGATCACTGAGCCATATCCCAGCCCYATTTTGTATTTTATTTAGAGACAGGGTCTCACTGAGTTGCTTAGTGCCTCGCCATTGCTGAGGCTGGCTTTGAACTCGCAATCCTTCTGTCTCAGCCTCCCGAGCAGCGGGATTACAGGCGTGTGCCACCATATCCAGCCACTCTTCATTTTGKTTTTGGTCCCCCTCCTTAGGTATTTACTGGAGATGTAGAACAGTTTAGTTGGGATGTCAGAGCATTGAAGTGTATTTGTGAACAACATTTCTGATATATATGTTAAATACCTACACACCCTATGAGTGCACGATCAAAGTGCACAATCTTAGTTATGTCCAGAAGTGAGATCATACACGTGTACCACAGGAAAGTCACTTCTCAAAAATAACATGTTGAAGTCCAAGTGATTTCAAGTGTCTGTGATTTAGTGTGAGCCACGTGAGCTRGCGTCCACCAAAACATCTGCGCTCTCAGGTGAAACAGGCTGTACCCAGCCTGTCTGGCCCTGTCACTCCTGTGGCCACACAGCTATAGAACCTTTAGAAGAGGGTGGAGTCTCAGCCCCACTTCATAGCAGGAAGAGTGGAGAGAGGTGGGTGTTTACCCAGGAGCTGGCCCGAAGGGGAGTAAATACTAAGGGTRTGAAAGGCAGACCTGTGACTGATGGGCAGGCGTGTGGACTCACATCTGTTCCAGGAAGTTACAAGGCAGAATCACCCTCAGTCTAAGGATAAACTTCCTCATGATTAAAATGACCCAAAGAGCGACTGCCTTGTGGAGCAGAAAGTTCTCAAAACAAGGCTCTTTGGTGATTTCAGACTAAAACTGAATGATTCCTTGTAAAAGATGGTGGACTTTCACTGCAGTCTAAATTTCTGCCAAAGCCTCTTATAACCCTTTGAAGCTGTGTGTTTATCTAAAAATGAGCAGTTGGCTATTTGGTTTTTATGAATCTTGCAAACAGTTCTTGTGATTTGCTCTTAGGTGTGTTTTTTTCCTAAAAGAAATTGTATCTAGGGATCATTATGATGATCTTTTCTGTAGGAAGAGAAAGAAACCAAATTATGGAAAAGCACGGTAGGCGTCTTTTATTTATTTATCCTTAGGAGTGCTGGAGTTGGGAAAACCTGGTCATTTTAGTGCTTCTGTGCGTGTGTGCTGGGAGGGAGCTCTGGGCTTCACACAGGCTAGGCAGGTTCTCTATCTCTGAGCTACCCCCCCACCCCCGAGCCTGCGAGTTCTCAGAGTTATTCTCTATCCCTTTTCTAAATATCCAAATAAGCCTTTCCCTGACTATTAGAATAGGAACCCAAAGAACTTAGATGGTTGCATAATGTATCTGTGTGAGAAATTTGCTCTTTCATTTATTCATTTGTTCACTGGCCTCCAACAGAGGAAGAGAGGCCCSGGGACAGTGTGTACAGTGGAGCGTGACTTGTCACAGGATCTATACGGAGTCAATGGAGGCTCCTCTCTGCAGAAGGTGTGTGGGGTYGCAGGAAGGCTGCCCAGAAGAGCCAAGAGTTGGAATCCTACCAGTGAACCAGTTAAAACGGCGAGATGCAGGTTTTAGTTTTGCTCCTGGGCAGCAGAATTAGCCATCAGATGTTGCTGTTAGTTGTGGGGTTTTTTGCTTTGTTTTGTTTGTTTGTTTGTTTGTTTGTTTTAATGATATGTCTCACCCTGAAGAGAGACGTGGTTTATTTTGCTTCTTGCAGACACCCAAGCCAGATCAGGTTCTTTTGGTCATGCGCTCTTTAGTGTGAATCTATCTTTTAATTAAGATTTATTGATTTTACTTCTTGGGCTTTAGGAGTCTTGTTAGGGAAGTCAGGGCCTCTGACATGATGGAGATTTGGGCTTGCTTTGTTTTCTATTAGGTGCAGAGTCCTGTCTGAGATGCTTGGCGCGGCACCCAGACCCTCGGGCCCAGCATTGGGTTAAGTGTTGTGAGGAACTACAGGGAAAAGCCCAAGGCTTATAATCAGGAGGAGAGAAAGAAATGCCTTCTAAAATGACCCGCGGACGTCCCCTCTGCAGCRGCTTCCCCAAGGGCCTCCCTCCTCCTCGGTGGCTGGAGCGCTCCTTGTGCTCTTGCAGTGTCCTGAGCTGGCTTCTCTCAAGACTAGAGGGTCACTGTGTGTGACCTGTCTGTTCTAGACTGAGGGACCCTTCAGGACAAGACCTGGCCTGGGCATGGCGTGTAGTGGCCCAACCACAGCAGGACTGCGCCAGAGGGAGCAGGCCACCYCCTTCCCTCTGCTCCATGGAGGCAGCCGCTGTCTACTCTCCTGGCTCTGTGGACGGGGTGCTCCTGGGCCTCTGTTCTCAGGGTACACAAAGGCCTGGAATGCTTTGCCCAGGTGTGAACAGCCTAATACTAAGGCATTTTRGGTCTCAAAGTGTGTCACTTTTTTTGCAGGCTCCAGTCCCTCCGTTTTGTGGTCCTCTGCTGCGAAGACAGCAAAAGGCAGAGGAAGAGGCCAGAGCCAGCCGTCGATATATCGAGACAGGTGCTCTGGGGTCAGGGACTTCAGGCTTAGAGACTGCTAATTGTCAAATGATGCTCCAGCCCAAGCCCCACTGGGGCTGTTTTTAAGAGTGTTGACTTAGATGTTTTATTTTCCTACAGGAAAACAATACTTCGCCAAAGAGCTCAAGGAAACCAAGGACAGACTGCACGCCAAATGGCCCCCGTTCATTTTCACTCTGCAAAACGTGGTTCCGAAAGAGTCTCATAAAGCCTCTGGGGTACCCAGGAAAAGTAAGGCATTCAGGTACGGAGACAGCACCCAAATGAACAAGCAAATGCTTGTTGCACCTGCAGTTTAGGGTACTTCCTAATGTAAGTTTTGTAACTAGTCATTTTTTTTTTTTTAGTGACTTCTGGTTTTCTTGTTTTTACTATCATCACCTTTGTGTTAGGCAGTATATGTAGAGAACAGCATGAAACACAAATAACTTAACAGATCCCAAATAAAATGAAGATATTTAAAAATAAAAGGCTAAGTAGTATTCCACTGTGTATCTATACCACAGTTTCTTTATCCATTCGTCTATTGAAGGGCATCTAGGCTGCTTCCACTGTTTAGCTATTGTGAATTGAGCTGCTATAAACATTGAAGTGGCTGCATCTCTGCAGCATGCTGATTTTAAGTCCGTTGGGTATAGAGGAGAGGGATAGCTGGGTCAAACAGTGGTTCCAATCCAAGTTTTCTAAGATATCTCCATACTGTTTTCCAAACTGGTTATACCATTTTGCAATCCCAGCAATGAATCAGTGTACCTTTTTCCCCACATCCTTGCCCGCACTTATTGTTGCTTGATTTTTTGATAATTGCCATTCTGACTGGAGTGAGATGAAATCTTAGAGTAGTTTTGATTTGCATTTCTCTAATTGTTGGAGATGTTGAACATTTTTTTTCATAAATTTGTTGTATATCTTCTTCTGTGAAGAATCTGCTCATTTTCTTAGCCCATTCATTGATTGGGTTATTGGTTTTTTTGGTGTYAGGTTTTTTGAGTTCTTTAGACATCCTGGAGATCAGTGCTCCATCTGAGGTGTGTGTGATAAAAATTTGCTCCCACTCTGTAGGCTCCCTCTTCACTTCATCAATTGTCTCTTTTGCTGAGAAGAAGCTTTTTAGTGTGAATCCATCCCATTTATTGATTCCTGATTTTACTCCTTGTGCTTTAGGAGTCTTTTAAGGAAGTCTCTGACATGATGGAGATTTGGGCCTGTTTTTTTTTTTTTTTTTATTAGGTGCAGAGTCTCTGGCCTAATTCCTAGGTCCTTGATTCACTATGACTTTTGTTCTTTCTTTTCTGAAGCGAATCTTTCCTAGAAGAATTTCTAGGCCTCAAGTTGTATCATGTATAAATACTTCAGGGGCTGGGGATGTGGCTCAAGCGGTAGAGCGCTCGCCTAGCGTGCGTGCGACCCGGGTTCGATCCTCAGCACCACATACAAACAAAGATGTTGTGTCCGCCGAGAACTAAAAAATAAATATTAAAAAAATTCTCTCTCTCTGTCCCCCTCTCTCTCTCACTCTCTCTTAAAATAAATAAATAAATTAATTAATAAATACTTCAGTATATCCTTCACAACCAGTAAACAAACAAAAGTTATTTTTATAATTTTCCTAAGTGTGTTTTTGCTTATGGGGACCCTTTCAGCTTCTATTAGCTTCAAAATGCTTACTTATCCTTTATTTTTTCTTTTTAACATAATACATTTTAGTTTTCCAGAAAATTTTATGTTCACATAAAATACTGAGACAGTTCCTTTATATCCTCTGTCCACAGATACACGTCTCCCTCCACTGTGGACATCCTTTGCCACAATAGTGCATTACAGTCAATGAAAGCACATTGACATAATCAGTCCATGATTTATGTGACAGTTCATTTTTGGTGGTGTACCATGTTATGGGATTTAACAAATGTATAGTGATGTGCAGCCCTCATTACAGTATCTTACAGGATAGTTTCACTATACCCCAAATCATCTGTGTTCTACCAATTTATCCCCTGCCCCCGTTCTCAGCAACCACTGATCTCTTTACTATCTCCATAGATTTTTCTTTTCCAGAGTGTCATATGTTTGGAATTATATAGTAAATAGTCTTTCACATTTCATTTATCTATCATCTATCTATCTATCTATCTATCTATCTATCTATCTATTACTGAAGATTTAACCCAGGGGTGCTTTACCACTGAACTACATTCCCAGCCCTCCCTCCAATTTTTTCCTATTTTTGTCCAGATTTTTTATTGGTGCATTATAGTTGTGCATAATGATGGGTCCCCAGTCCTTTTTTGTTTTTAAATTTTGAGACAGGGTCTCACCAAGTTGCTTGGGGCCTCACTAAGTTGCTGAGGCTGGCTTTGAACTTGTGATCCTCCTTCCTCAGCCTCCCCAGTCACTAGAATTATAGTGTGCACTACCATACCTGGCTTACCTTCATTTAAATTTTTTTTTTTTTTTTTTTTTTTTAGTTGTAGTTGGACACAATACCTTTGTTTTTATTTATTTATTTTTATGTGGTGCTGAGGATTGAACCCAGGGCCTCACAGGCACTAGGCAAGTGCTCTCCTGCTGAGCCACAACCCCAGCCCCCTACCTTCATTTGAAAGAAAAAAATTTATTTGTTCTTTTTAGATATACATGACAGTAAAGTCACCTTCATTTATAAAAGCATGCTTTTACACAATAAAGAATACTAGGTTGGAAGTTATTTTGTTTTAACATATATCCTGTTGTCACTCTTTTAATTAAGAAATCGAAAGTGCCAGTCTTACTGTTGTTCTTTTCAAAGTAATTTATCTCTTTTCCCTGGATACTTTTAGGATTTTCTCATTCTTTGATTTTTTTTTTTTTTTTGTAGTGTTATGGGATGTTTTCAGATGTGGATTTCTTTTTCTACTTGGAATTCATGGTTTGTCTTGTGTCTGTAGATTCATGTCTTTAGCTGATTTTGGAACAATCCGAGTCATTTTCTCTTTGATTGTTACTGCTGCTATAATTCTCTCTCTCTTCTCTTTTGGGTACTCCAGTTAAACATATTTTAGATTTTCTCACTGTGACCTTTTATGGCTCTTATTTTTCTTGTGAATTTTCTATTCTTTTTGTCTCTCCATATTTGATTCTAGATTTTTTAAAATCTCTTTCATTGTGTCTGATAATCTGTTKTTAAACCCATTTGCTGAGTTCTTATTTTCAGCCATTTTGTTGTGCGGTTCTAGAATTCCTGTTTGGTTCTTTTCATAGGAAAATGTTCTGAAGAGGGCTGTCTGTGCTCAGGRGTCTGGAGAGTCTCCACCCTCACTCCACTGGGGAACCTAACTCAAATGCAAATGYGTAGCTTGACTTGCCCACTGCGGGAGGAGATGTTGAGAACAAGATTAAATGCCTAACTGTGAGGACAGCTACCAGGTCCCAGGAGGAAAAATAACCCACCAAAGATCCTCAGAGCACAGAGGAAGCAGTTTCTACCCTGGTACGAAATGCTCCAAGGGAAGTGTGGAAGCAGGGCTTAGCTGGAGAGTGTCAGCTCAGTCCTGACAGCCTGTCCCCTTTCTGGAATTGTTTCCACAGACATCCAGTGGCTTTACARTGAGGAGTGTTTGGGGTAGATTTTCTGGTTCCCACTAGTTGTTGCAGCAGAATGCAAATTTGGACACTCACTASTGAAGTGGAAGTGTCATGGTGCTGGGGTTCAAACTCAGGGCCTTATATACATTCTAGAAAAGTGCTCTATCACTGATCTGCATCCCTAGCCCCCTTTTTAAAACCACTTTTATTTGAACATTAATAATAACCCAACTTCTCATCTCCTCTTCCTTTCCCCTCTCTGGCTCCCCAGCCCCTGATGTTGCAGTGCTCAGCTGGTCCTTCTTCTTTAATCTGGTCTCTTCCAGAGTCTCTGCCTAACAGCTTGAGTGATGTCTCAGGAGCAATCAGCCGAGAACTCTGGGTAGCTTCCCATAACCCTCTCAAACGTATGCAGTCTCCTTAACAGGCACACAAGGTGCCATCTGGGCCCTGACACCCTTTCTGGCTTCATCTCAAAAATCCCTTTTCCTTAAAGAAAAGAAATACATATTATCCACAGGAGTCTCTGGTCAAGTCTGCATGTTTACAGCTCCTGACCCTTGGGGTCATGAGTGTCCCTGCTCTATCACTGGCCACTTCAGTGCTGCAAGAAAGTCCCACAGTAGCATGGCCCACCCTCCCAGCAGCCAGCCCCTGAGGGCAGGGCTGTGTTCCCAGTGCTCAGCTAGAGAGTGGTGGGGGACGGGTAAACGGAGGGAGAAAAGAGATGGGRGTGGGTTACCTGCAGCCTTTTGGTGACAGCCCTCTGGGTGCCTCACACAGCTGACCAAGTAAGAAAGGACTTAAGCTCGAGGTGGTCAGATGAGTCAGAAGCAATTTGATTAACAAAGAACATAATCCTTCTCAAGTTAAAGAAATGGGGGCAGGGGAGGTACATATGTTAGAAAGCACCAGCAAATTGTGAAAGACAAGGCCAGAAAGCCAGACTGCTTGGGGGACAAGAGATCAGTCCCTTCCTTTTGGGGACTATGTGGTTTTCACTGTCACTTCCTGTGAACCTGCTTCATTTCTGTTTCTGTGCGCGCTGCTTTCTCTGCAGGGGTAGGAAGCAGATGCTCCAGTTTTGCTGACTTTCGGGCTTGAGCACTGGAGGCTGTCTATTAATCCCTCATCACAACTCTCTCTGTGCCTCAGCCACAGCTGGAGAAGGGTCCCAGGACACCTGCTTATCTGCAGACTGTGCCAGCAGGGGTGTGGGTGGGCAGAGAGACTGAGAGCTGTATTAGCCAGCTTCACATCATCACAGTGAAATACCTGAAGCAATTAGCCTCCAAAGAGAAAAGGTTTCCGTAGCTCAGTTTTCAAGGTTCAAGTCCAGGACGAGGTGGTCCCAACTGCTTTGGGCCATTGTTGAGGGAAGTACATCATGGCAAGAATACTTGTAGGAGCAAACTGCTCACATCAGGAGTCAGGAAGCAGAGAGAGAAAAAGGAAAAGACCAAGGTCCCATGGTCCCTTTCAATGACATGCACCCAAGACCTGTGACCCTCCCAGTAGGCCTCACAGCACCTCCCCATACTACCAACCTGGGAACCTAAGTTCAGTAAGGACCTTTAGGGGTCTCATCCAATCCATAGCAGAGGGACAGCTACCACTGATGTCTCGATGGCTTTTCCTTTTTATAATGAACACAGAGTTCACTAAATTAATTCCTTAGAACGGTACAGTTCAGTTTGTTCTGAGTTGAGATAATGTTTCTTCTTTTCTCCAAAGTCCTGAAAGGCCTATCTGTATGGAAAAGAAGCGTCTGTTTGGTAAGAAGACGACCGACCTCAGCCAGCTTGCTTGCCAGCTTGCTTTTGAAAGGCAGTTCCGTGTCTCCCAGCTCTGCAAGAACAAGGAGGCTGAGAAGAGGGGTCTGGTGAGCGGGACCTGGGGCAGGGCCTGGCTGGCAGGATTTGGCAGCATCCCCAAGACAGTATTCTCCACCTCAAAAGCAGAGCCCCCAGCAAAGCCTTCCCTCAAAACTAGGCTCCTGGGGGCAGAGGGGGCAGTAGCCCAGGAAAGGGGCAAAGAGGAGCCGGCAGAAGGGGACAGTGGCTCCATGCACAAGAACCAGTGGGCTGTCTTGACCTGGAGCTGCTGCTGGGGGGGGGCACTCTGGGTGGGAAAGCCTTGGGTCATGAGGCTCAGATGGTGGCAGATGTGGGACCTTGGACCCCACTTTCAAGAGACCCTTGGCAGAAAGGAGCTGCCCTCTAAGGTGGTCTCAGCTCTTTTCCATGAGTCTGCGTCCTCCCACCATTTTTCTACCATTGATCACTTCTCACATCCAAGCCTGACCAAAAATCTTGTTTTCAGTTCAGTCACAGGAGGTGGGGATTTTTTGAACTGAAATTTATACAAAAAGGGGTAAAGCAAAATGAGATGTTAAGTATCTAAAAGGTCTTTTATTTTACCTTTATTTTCTTTTAGTGGTGCTGGGATTGAACCTCAGGCCTCGTGCTTGCCAGGAGAGCTGCCYCAGCCTTAAGAGGTGTTTTATATACAGGGATTCTGCCATCAGTTTTCCACCCAGTGCTCACGGTTTGGTGGGCACAGCAGCTCCTGGCCTGCTCCCCCATCCCTCCCCCACAGCCCTGAAGCCTGAGGTTAGCCCCTGGGGAAGCGCCTGCMGTAGGCCAAGGGTCCAGGACCTGTTGTGAGTGGACAGCTGCACGTCTTTGATTCTCCTTCCACCAGCCACACGCAGAGGGCCAAGGACCATCTCCTCTCTCCAGTTTGAAAACCTGGTTGGATATTTTGGGACCCAGCTTCTCCTCAGCCTGTTGTTCTCCCAGTCTCTCTGGAGCCAAATGAATTCTCCTTAGATGGCAGGTTACCAGACTGCTTTCCTCATCAGCTTTTTCTGAGCATAATTATATTTGAGAGCAAAGGAGCCGCCCCATTCAATTTTTTAAAATATTGAATGTGGGTGATGATTTCATGTACATATTAATATATCCTTCACTCCACCTTGTTACTGTGTGTGGTGAGAACACTTAAGATCCACTCTCTCAGCAAGTTTCMGGTCCAGTTGTCCCTTGGTATCTGTGGGGATTGCTTCTAGGATGCTCTGAATCCCACAGCATGTGATGCTCGAGCCCCTTAGGTAGACGGTGTAATTTTTGCACATACCCTATGCACATCCTCCTATGTACTTTAAGTCATCTCTAGATTACTTAAGATGCCTAGATCAATATAAATGCACTTTTAAATAGTTCTGATGTATCGTTTAAAAAGTAATGATCAGGAAAAAAGTCTAAATGTTCAGTACAGATACAGTTTTTCCCCCAAATATTTTTTATTTGCAGTTGATTAAATCCATGGATGCGGAATCCATGAATAGGGAAGTCCAACCGTATATAATAGAGTATTAATAACTTAGTCACCATGCTGTACAGTGGGTCTCTAGAGCGTCATGATTAAAAGTGGACAGTTTTTGACCAAGGTCTCCCCCTTTTCCCACCTCTCACCTGCTCTCTTGAGTTCAGCTTTTTTAGATTTCACACATCAACCAGTTTTTGCAGTGTTAATCTTTCTGGGACTGGCTTGTTTCATTGGGAATGATGTCCTCCAAGTTCATCCATGTTGTTACAAACGATAGGACTTCCTTGTCTTTACCAATTCACCTATCAATGGACACTTAGTTTACCTGTCTTAGCTGTTGTGAATAATGTTGCAATAAACATGGCAGTGAAAATATCTATTCAAGACATGGTTTTATTTCCTTCAAATATATATGCTCAGTTGTGAAGTAACTGGATGATATAGAGGTTATGTTTTTAAATTTTGGGAAACCTCCATATTGTTCTTCATAATGGCTGTACCAGTTTATGTTCTACTGAAAGTGGACGTGTTCCCTTTTCTCCATATACTCACCCACACTTGTTAATTTGACTTGTTGATAACTGACAACCTAACAGGTGTGATATGCTATCTTACTATGGTTTCAATCTACATTTCCCTGATTAGTGATGTTGAGCATCTTTTCTTATGGCTATTATCATTTGTCTTCTTTAAAAAATATCTATTCACAACTCAGGAGGCTGAGGCAGGAGGATCACAAGTTCAAGGCCAGCCTCAGCAATTTAGTGAGACCCTAAGCAATTTAGTGAGACCGTGTCTCAAAATTAAAAATAAAAAGGGATATGGATGTAGCTCAGTGGTAAAGAATCCCTGGGTAAATACCCCAAATCTATTCAAGCTCTTTCCCATTTTTAAATTGAGTTCTTAGCTTTTCTGCTATTGGGTTGTATGATTTCCTCATGTATTTTGAATACTGACTCCTTATTGGCTATATAGTTTGCAAGTATTTTCTCCTATTCCTCATTGTTTGTTTCCTTTGCTGTATAGAAGCTTTTTGGTGTGATGATCCACTTGTTTATCTCAGATCTTCATGTGACTAGTCAGCTCTACTCTTATGGTAGCGAAGGTTATTTGCTATCACCAAACAGTAGATAGTGGTTTAAACACACAGAGGTTTGCTCTTGTTYGTGCCTCAGTATTGGGTGGGTACATCCGCAGGCTGGCCCACTTTCAGGACTCTTCTGATGGGCCTTTGTCATCTTCAGCACCTGGCTTCCAGGAAACTCATTCATGTCAACCATAAAGGGGAAGCAATTTGGGATGAGTTCTGCCCTAGCATCTGTGGGCCAGGCCTGGGGTGTGCACGTCACTCCTCTGATCTGTAGGCTAGGACCCTGTCACAGTTGTCCCTAACTGAAGGGTGCAAGGGTGCTGGGAACACCTGGCTGGTCTGAGCACAGTGGCAGGGGATCCTGTGTGGACAGCAGGTCTCTGCACACTAAGGTCCACGCAGCTGAGGATGGAGATCTCACGGGAGAGCGCAGAGAGCAGAGGAGACAAGCGAGGCAGGAGGTGGTGCAGAGCCCCCTGAGACTCAGCTTGGCAGAAGGACCGGGTGTGGGGCAGGATTCTAGGTCCCTCTGCTCCGGTGAGCCTCCACGACCTTACACCACACTCAGTCCTTCTCTTCTGTCACTAGGTTTTAGGGACCCGACAGCAGAGACCCCGCTCCTGGGCAGCTGGGGATCATGAACAGAGATGGGGGCCACAGCCCGTAGAAAGAAGAGTGATGACAGCCGAGGTCCTGGGGAAGCACCTGGCCTCCCTGCAGGGGATGGCCAGGCAAGGCCATCATTGGCACAAGGTAATAAAGCTTCACGGACTTCGGTCTGCCATGTCCTGCAATAGTTAAAGGATTGGGAAAATGGTTTTCCCCTCGAGGAGTGGAAGGATATTGCAAGAAGTGTCCAGATAGTRGCACTTACTGTTTATGGAGCTCTGGTAATGAAACAGGAACCTTGAGTTGAGAATTTTAATAGCAAGATGGATTATTATCCCCTAATATTTGATGCTCAGAGAGGCACAGTGCTGGCTGGGAGCCAATATCCAGGTTTTACGAATAGTGTCCCACTCCAAGTCAGTCCCAGTAATGCCCCCAGGGGACACTTTCTCCTCTGACACACTTGGTAACAAAGCCAGGTTGCTAACAAGTGGATCCTCTTTAGGAAGGTGGAGTTACCCTTTGGCCAAGTGTCCTTCCAGAGGATGATGGAATTGCTGGGTGCATTACTGACGGGCATTATCCTCCAAGGTCACTGAAGCCATCTTACTCAGATCAGGCAGGTGACTCTGTCCTAAATTTGCCCAAAGAACCCTGACTTGTCTCAAGATGGAGAAATGGTACTAGTCACAGCTCATCTAGTGAGAATTAAAGTCCCCAGTAGTCCTTGGAAGAGGAGGATTGTTCTGCAGTTACAGCTAAAAAACAAACAAACAAACAAACAAACAAAAACCCCAGAACTGGTTTTAAACGTGCCCTATCATTAGGGACATGGCAGGCATTCTGACATTAGCCCACAGTTAGCTCCAGAACCAATACTTGCATTTTTCCAAACCTGAGAGATGGCCAGCAGTTTGCTTGCTCAGTGAGGCTGTGCTGACCTGCCAGACTTTGCTGTAAGTGAGCAAAATGTTCAGTTGTTTTTGTCAATTCCAAATGCTGTTTCTTCTTTTTGTCTGTTTTATCCAATCATTGTCCAGGACCAATACATGGAATGAGTCAATGATGGATTAAAAAAATTTGAATATATTGAATTATATTTTCCATTGTGGCCAGTGAAGAAACTTTGCCCCAGGAACATGAAACACAGATTCACCAAAGTTACAAAGCAAGTTACAAAGAGTCAAGCTAGGCCTTGGGTCTCTTGGCCATATTGTCACCCCATCTTTGGTTTTTCCCCATTGTACCAGAAAAGAAATTTGGTTTCACTATAAGCAGCCTCTGAAATTACCTTTTAAAAGTGTTTCATGAAGAAAATAAATCAGTCATACTTTGAAAGATAACTTCATAAACTTTTATTTTTATTCTCTTCTGTACATATTGGCAATGATAAAGCTTAAAGATGCATGTCCTATGAAATATGCAAACAAGGAATTTACATAAATAATTTATACTTCAGAAAATTAAAGTTGAAAAATATTTTCCACATTATTAGAATTCACAGTATTTAAAGTACATCAAGCTTCCCCCTTTATATTTCAATCTATATTGTCATAGCAGAGAATGATAAAATCTAGTTAGGAAGAAAAGGATCAAGTTTCTGTTTTTATTCAGTGCACAAGTAGAYGCCCTATCAGTATCAGCTGCGGGAGCGCTGAGGCTGCAGCGTTTCATCCCAACCCTTCACCTCCTGAGTGCCGTGACCCAGCAGAGGTCACAATGTGTGGAATGGTCCAGTGTCACCAAACCACTCCCCCTGGTAGACACATTCACCAAGTGGTAACATCTGTTGGTCTGATGCCTCATTTCCACATAATACTTTTATAGCCCTGAAAATGGAAACCTGGCATCTAAACACAGCTGAACATGTTAACACTAGTACAAGGCACTGTGCTGTGGGGTTTGTTTATTTAGAGGAAAGGTCATGTTTGCATAGATTGCTAGCGATTTAGTGTGCAATAAAATACAGGCCCCAGCTTGCATGGCTTTGTGATGGATGAAGCCGAGTGATGCTCCTCAGTCCCAGGAGAGCCCATTCTGTTATTCTCTAGCCCCAGTCTTGAGGGCAGAGCCTCTGGTGCTGTCCTCCCCAATCCCCTAAGGGAGAGTTTTTTGTTCAAAAAGCTGAAGGTCAAAGCGGACCCAGACCTCCCCCGTGGGGACCTCGTGCAGCAGTAGTCGACGGGTGGTAGGGCCTTTGTTTTCCTGTTCTGTTTGAATTTTTGCCACTGGAACTTCAGTGCGACCTAGGAAATCTGGTGAATAAACATCATGTAAAGGTCCAAAGTCTTTGTTCTTTATAAAACTATTAGATGCAGGGGAAAGTTAAAAAAAAGACTACCTCAAGAGAAGTGTCTAAAAGAGGTTCACAAAACTTTTACATCCCAAACAAGTAACTTCTTTTGGCTTATGGCTGTTTGATACTCTGAATAGATGCATGTACAATGACAACAGATTTGTCTAAGGGCAGCTGCCTATTTGTAGTCCAAGCCTCTCTGGTCAGGGAACGTTCTACTCCTTCAGTATATCCCACAGGGTTTAGCTGGTGTGTGCAGGTAGTGACTCTGGTCAAAGACCTGAAATGCATCTGACAYGGTCCCCTCCCCTGAGGAAGGGCATCCACCGTGGCTAAAACGAGATGACACAAATCTGTGTCATTTCCCATAGTAGTAGTCATGGGGTGTATGAATGGCTGAGYATCCTGGATACAGACCCTAAGTTCTAGAAAACTAGGAACATCTTTTGACCTCCAAGCCAAGTTATACTTACCATCTGGAGAAAAATGGTCTCTGTCAAACATAGTGAGACATAGCACATCTTGGTAAAGATCCTTAATAAAGAACTGGCAGTTAAAGTTCCACTTGGGATTTAGTGTGTCCTGGAGGGTTCTGGTGGTGTAGCTCTGGGAGCCCATGCTGATTTCGCAGTATGGATTACTCTTTCCTAAACAGAAATGAACCACAGACATGTGGCGTGGTAGGTGAAATGCTTGACAAACAGGCCGTCCTCAAGCAGAACCAGGTCTGCAATACTAGAGACCACYGCAGCAGGGCCACTGCCTGACAGACCCCGTCTGCCCTGTGATCTGGCAGTGCAGCCTCTGTTCCCGAGCATGAAGCCTCACTGTAACCCTTGGCAGCGACTGTGAGCTCTAAAGCCAACCCCCCTCCCCATGAGCCTGGGCAACGCCAGTGCAACCTGCGTTGTGCGTTTCGATGCAGAAGCGCTGAGGAAGGCAGGCATTGGTACTTAGTGGGGAACCAGAGTGACAATACTGGTCCAATAAGTGGATTATCACATCTCTGTGGCACTGGGAACACTACTTTAAAAATGCATCCCATCATTCAGAGTGCAGAGGGTCACCAGCAAAGAGCAGGGCATTGCTATGTCTGTTGAGTGAAAGAAGCATTTACCATTTGGTTTACAGGCTTTTAATTCTGTGGCTTCAACGACATGCACCATCAGACGTCCAATGCCTGATGTCTTTTGAGAGCGGGCTACAAAAGAGGGAGATGAGTTATATTAATTTCTCTGCGAATGCAGATTGTGCAGTGATGATGAGCTGTGGACCCTCAGTCTCTCCTGATACTTTTAAAAACATTTGATGCTGGACATTGAACCCAGGGCCTTGTGAGTGCTAAGAACACCTCTACCACTGAGCTACACCCCCAGCCCTCACAGTCTGTCTTTCTAACCAGACATGAAACTACTCCAACCTCACAGGCTGTTGCACCTGGGCGGTGTTGTCTGTCAGGAATGCATTACCTGCAGTCCCTGCCCCTCATCATCCTACTCATCCTTCAYCACCCAGTCAATCTCATAGCTACCTCCCCGGCCCATTCCCCCCTCCGTGTATTCACTACTCTGACTATGAGCATTCCACAGCCTACTGGGTCTGAGATTCTGTATGATATTTGTCTCTTCTGCCAAAGAGGAGCCATGTGGCACATAGACTGTTGTATTCATCCTTTATTAACCCTTAATTACCTAGCAAGTAGTAATATTAACAAAGCAATAATGCATGTCATTTATTCAGCACTTCATAGCAAATAACATTGGATTCTTACTCTGTTTTAAGCATGTGCTAGATCTCTACATATATTTAAATTGCATAAAATAATGTAGCTCCCCATTTTATAGATGAGAAAAACTGAGGCTGAGAAAGGACCATAATGTACTCCATTCAGAGCTTTTAAGAAGCAGGGCCAAAATGTAAACMTCAGGTACCAAAGTCTAAACCATTCACCGAAACTCCAATTACRTGTACATAAACAGTATAGCTTAGAAGGCACTTTGACTGAAGGTCTGGTTCTATTTAAGGAGGGACTCAAAATGCTTTTAATATGGAGAAAGATGAGTCAGTAGGCTCATCTTGATAAACATGAAGTTAAGCAGGTGTTAAGCAGGTTAGTATTCAAAAACAGGATGCTTGRTGAGCTACTGATTTCTTTTTTAGCTCTAAGCATGTATGCCTTCTCTATAAGAAAGGTCCATCTCTCTCCACCTYAGAATGTGCCCTCAGTCCCCCTGAAGGCAGAGGCTGTCCTTACTCTTCTCTGTAGAATCAGTTACTTGTAGCACAGAGCCTGACACAGAGTAAGTAATCGACATAGGTCTAAAGAATTGAACACGTGGATAGTGCAGAATATATACAGATATCGGCGGTAAGCAAAACTCAAAAGAAAAATTTTGATTTACATCTTTGACCAATTAAGACATCATTATATGCTTTATGAAATGATTCATTGATTTTTCAATAGCAAGCTTTTAAAGTACCTCTAAAATAACATTCAATTGGTGAAAGCCAGTTCACACGTCCCTTCAGGAGCACAGAACTTAAAAATAAGGGAAACCTGAATGAAAACACAAAGAGCTGCAACTGCAGTGCCAGGAGCCTGGCAGGAGGACTGGGCAGGCAGGAGGAAGTGAGGTGGGGACAGGGCGCGGCAGGGGTGGATGGAGCCCTGGCCTCCACTGGGGAGGAGACCAAGGGCAGGTCTGGGCACAGCTGGGACGGGTGGCCGGGAGGGGCTTGGCATTCACATGGAGGTGAGGGAGAGTGCCAGAGGGCCAGGAGTGGGGAGGCACCACACTGAGCTGGTGAGGATCTGTGAGCAGAGTGAACACAATCMCTGTGACCAATACGGAGCCCCAGGGGACATGAGGGAAGAGAGGTGCCTTGAGGATGCTGA